ACTGGTAAAACCTTTTGAAGAGTATACAAACTCTTTCTAAAACTTAGAATAAAAAAATAAGAGATACTGCGTTCCGGTTTTGGTTTGCTAAAAAGAGCACTTCATGAGTAGTTGCTCACATTGTTTAGTTTAGATTTTAGCAAGCATTTTAAGTCTTAGCTAATTTTAGGTCTTTGGAGTCCTCTCCTCTCTGAGCTGCAATTTGAAATAAGATCAGATTTGACAGGTCATGCAGAGAAGAGTCCAGCTTCAAATAGCACACTTCAGATGTACTTCAGATGTCTGTATTCAGTGTTAATGAGTTTTGAAGATCCTTCACTGTGAAGGGGCATAATGCTTCCTGTTGTGTTGTCAGTTCCTAGGCATTTTGGATTCAAGGCTACAGCTGAAAACTCCTATGTGCAGAAGGTATGTCAGTCTAAGCAAAGCTTCGTATGCTTTGGTGTTGTTAGTTTAAGATGACTGACAGATGTGGAAATGCACTGCTGGCTGCCACTTTACAAACGAATTCAGGAGAGAGGAGTTCAGACAGAGAACAGTGTGGGACTGGTAGTGGGTGTCTTCATCAGCCTCCTTGTTCTGGTTTTCAGTGTTGTCCAGTTAATGGTGGCACTTACATACAGCAAAGCCTGGAGTCGGAGTACAACGAAATAATTTCTGAAGGATATTTGTTATAGTCAAAGTGCTATAAAAGCTGTTTTAAGCTTCATCTATATGAACTTTCTTTTTTCAGTCTTACGGGACTGTGTACTGAGACTCAACAGCAGCAAACTCTCCTTTTGCAGGGAAAGTGTCTTTGCAACTGGAGACAGTGAGGTAAATTAGTAGGGCTCTCCTCTACAGTGAACTTTGCAAGAACAGCAAGGAAAAGCTTTGAATGCAGATCAAGTGGTGTGATAGGGATACTGGACTCTGCTCCTGTGGCAGAAGCATGGCATTGGCATTCTCAAGCTGAATAGGATAAGCCTGGGAAATTCAAATCAAAGAACTCGCCGTTTCTTTGATTCTTTAAGGCCACTGATTTTCTTTCACATAATATGAAGAGGCATTTTTTAATTTCTTGGGTGTAAGGAACCATCCAAGCAACTCTGTCATCTCATCTAGAATATTGGTCTCAAAACACAGCAGTGAGTATCCAAACAAATTCAAGTTCCTTCCAGAGTTAGAAGTGCTTCTAGAAGTGCTTCTGCATGTCGGAAGAAAGGTTGTTTCCAAGAGCCATTTTCCAGTCAGAAAAATGTGGGAAATAGGTGTACCACATCTTCAAGCCTAAGGATGTGAAACAGTAGGAAATAGACATAGTTCACTCCAAGTAGTCTCACAAAGTCACAGTGGAGTCTTCAGAAGTTTTACTTGTTAGCAAGTTTTCTTGGCATCTCAACATCTTGCAAGAAAAGATGATGCTATTCTCTGCAATTACCACCCACTCCCTGGAACACAAAGGTTCTTACACTCTCCGATAGCTAAAGCTTGCCAAGGAGTTCACCCTGTTAAGTGATCATCAGAAACCACTTGAACAGATACTCCTACTACTGTTAGCCCAAGTTAGCCACGTGAAAATAAGGAGAGAAGCATTCTGTCACTCTGGTGTGTCCTTGAGCAGCCAGGGTGCTGGCCTCAGTTTGATCCTAAGAAATAATGTGCCTGCAGGGACGTGGTAGTCACATATTAGATGCTTATTTTGAAATCAGCCAAAATTTAAGACAGTTATGCTAAAGGCAAGGCATAAATTTAAGAAATAATGAAAATTAATATTTGGTTGTAGTTTACCAAGGAGCATACAACAAAAATGTAAGGAAAAAGAATCCGTTTAACTCAAGAGAGCATCTGAAAGGTGTTCTATTTTTCATGCTCCTTCCTCTGTCATGGATGTTTATGCTAACTGAAAAGGTCAGGGCCTGTCCTTGTGTGTACCTGACACCCAAGCTGTGTTGACAGAAGAAAACTTTAGAATAGAGAAACACATTAGATTTCATAAACCACGCCAGATTTTGAGTTTCCTTTGCGGTATCCCACTCCTGAGGCTGTCTTGTTCTTTCATGATAAGTTCCTACTTTTGACACTTCTGTCTTTGGGCCATTAGCAGCCTCAGATTCCCTTGGGTGCTGGTGAGGATTCATGGTGTGGCCAGGTGCCAACCTCTCCTGACCAGACTGTCAATACAATTCGTTAGTAGCTGCCTCGCTGCCTAGCCAAAC